ACAAAATGCGCATTTATTAAGTTTGATTTATGTAAACAAACTCCGGAACGTCATGTGACCATAATATTATTAAGTTATGTAACGTTATTAGCATGTAATCACGCTTAAAAAGTGGTGTTCAGAGACTTTTGGTGACCCTTTGTATTTACTACAGAGGGTATTCAAAAGTTTTCAAATGATTTTCACTTAATATAAAATGGAAATTTTTAATGCATAAATTTTCAAAGCTTATTTATTATTTTATTTAGAGCATAATAAGCTTTATATTTCATATTAAGTAACTAATACTTAGTTGTACTAAAATCACCATCTGTATTCATTTTGGTATGCTATTAATTAATTTTCAATCAAACATTTTAGAATTTTCTTTCATTCATTTTGAACATATTTTTCAAGTTCAACAAAATTACTTGGCTTTTTCTTTTATTTGTAAATGTTTTTAATTCAGCCTACAATTTTTCAATCAGATTAAGGTTCAGAATTTTGGTAGATTAGAAAAGGATATGTAAATCCTTTTCTATATAGAATATTACTGCAATTTTTGATCTATAAAGAGTAGCATTATTTTTCTGAAATAATTTATTTACATTTGAAAACATATGCTATATCATAAATACAATATATTTACAAAGTAATTCAATATATATAACTCCAGTTACTGATCCTTGTAATAGTATAATTGATTTCACTTCTTATCAAAAAAAAAAACAACCCTAATGCATATGATTAAGCTATACTTAATTGTAATTGAAACACAAAAAAAAAGACTATTCTTTAACTGATTCTTTTCATACTTTATTAGTGTAACTTTATTAAAATTAAATGAAAGTTAAATATCACCTTTGTTCAATAATTTTTAATCAAATTTTATATTTTAAATATTATGAAAGTAATACTACTTTATTTATAGGTAAGATAAGAGGCTTAGTTATATATTACAATTTCTTAATTCAAGTAAATAAAATACATGACAAGTAGTATTTACAAAAATATTCTATCTTTTTTTTTAAAGCTCTTCATTATAATAGTACATAATTATCAATTTTGTATTTTTTATTTGTTACCAAATATTTAAGTCTTTAAACTAATTATTATTACTTAAATATGAACACTTAGAATCTATAAACTAGTTTTATTATATTATTTTAATATATTAAAACTGTTATTTTTTCACACCCAATAATATCTGCAATCTTTTAATATAATTCTTTATATTAACAGTAATAAAATATTACTTCACATTATTCTGTAATTAATTCATTTATTCTTTTCATTTTTTACAAAGTATGGTAAAGTAAAAAAATCAGGTGATTTATAATATTATATATAAATTATAATATTTATATATAAATAAAAATAAGTATTGATTACTCCTTTTTATAGTTATTGATTACCAAAAAAATCATTTAAAAACTTTTAGGTACCTCTATATATTTTATATCAAAAAATATATAGCTTTCAAGTTTAAATTTTAATTAAATCTAATATATTAAAATTTATATAACAGTTACCTTTAAAAGTATTAAAATATGAAAAATATAAAGCATTTATAATGTTTAAATTAAAGTTTAAATTGTATATTATTATTTTATAATATTTTAAAATTAATTCTAAAGATAATTTTTCAAAAAATACTTAGGTTAAAATGAATTTAAGTATAAATTTATATTTATCTAAATGACTAGATACTAATATTTTCTCAAAATTTAAAATAAAAATACTAAAATTTGATAAAAAAAAAAAATATTATAAATATTTCAAATAAATTTTATAATTTCTATAAAAAAAAATTAAAATAAAAATGATTTATTCTTATTTAATATTTGGTATTCAATAGTAATATTAAATTGAATAAAAACCTATTGTAAATAGAAAATTTAAGATTAATATAAATAGAAAAATTATTAATATTCTATATTCAATATATAAATCTTAGCATAATATTTTCATTATTAAAAAGATTTAAATATTAAAATTAAAAAAATTAATTGATTGTATATATTAATATTATAATATAAAATTTTAATATTCTACTAATTTTAAGTAATATTTTTATAAAAAATCTATATGTATTTGAAATTTTTATGCAAAATCTATATAAAATTTATTAAATTTATATAATTTTCATATAAAATTAATATAAAATTTAAAAAAAAAAATACTATACTTATTTAATTAATAATAGTTTAATTTATATTTGATTCAAATTATTCTAAATATAATTTAATTTTGATTTGATATAATTTAAAATTGATTTAAAATTGATCTAAAAAAATTATAGAAAAAATATATTGTATCTATTTAACTAATATTGATTTAATTTTTTAAATTTATAACTACATATAAATAACTATATAATCTTATAATTATTTTATAATTAATAATTTTCATATATATTTCAAATTTTATTAAATACTTTTTAAATATCTATTTTTAATTTAATTTTAGAATTCTTATTTTATTCTTCTTAAATATTTTAACTATACTTAGTATAAAATAATTAATTACTAATTAAATTATATTTTGACAGATATAATTATTTATTAATAATTTATAATAAATATCAAATTAACTAATTAATTTTAATATTATCAAAATTAATTAATGTTAAAATATGATTTTAACTGCTTTTTATAATTGAAATATTAAATAACCAATAATTATTATATTTTAAAAATAAAAAATAATAATTTTTATAGTAAATATTTTAATTTTAATTTATAAGTATTATAAATTAAAATAATTTTTACTTAAATAAATAATTTTATTTATTTTTACAAATAAAACTAAAAAAATAAAATAAAATAAAATAAAATAAATTTTATGTTTTTTAAACTAAATTAAATCAATATTTTTTAAAGTAATATTTAAAAATAATAGTATTAAAATTTTGATTTATAATATTTAAAAAAAGCGATTTTTTAAGATAACAAAAAAAAATATAAACATAAAAAAAAATAAAAATAAATAAAACTAATACTTATGATAATAATATTATATATAAAATTTATTTTATTTATTAAAAATTAAAGTATTAATATTTAAAAAAGAAAAATAATAGAAATAATTATAAAAATTATATATTTTTTAATTATATATAATAATAACTATCATAATAAGTTATTTTAAATAAATTTTTTAAAAATTTGTAAGTAATCTTAAATTTATTATATAATTAAAAAATAATGATATTATATATACATAAATTAATTTAAAAAAAGTTTATTTTATAAAACTAAAATTAAAAAATTTATCATGAATAAATAAATAAAGTATGTGTAAACTTTTATAATTATAATTATCTAAAAATAATATATATCTATAGATCTTTATATATAAATATATTATTATTAGATTTATTTGCTTGAATTTTTTATATTTGAACTATTTACTTTGATAATTAATATTACATCAAAATTTACAACTTAAGTGAATTTTTATTATCTTATAAGCATTTACAATTCTTGAATCAATTATGCAATTTATTTATTAACAAATTTAAAAACAAATAATTTAATAATTCAATTAAAACAAAAATATTTATGAAATAATTTCTAGAAAAACCAGGTTTTAAGAAATTTTTAACTAAAATTAAGAGTTTAATGCATTTAATTTAATAATATCAAAAACTAAAATGCAATAAAAATCTTAATATGTATCAATGATTTTCAATGATTTATCATTTTGTCAATCAATTTTCTAATGTTTTATTGAATACTTATATATAATCATAAATCTTTAAAAAAATTTATAACAAAAAGTTACCATATGATCAATAATGTGCATTAAATGAAAAAAGCCAAACATTAATTTGTGGGATGCAATATGTGATACGAGATCCATAGAGAAATTTCTTTAAGAAATGATTGTCGATCAAATAGTGATACTCAAGGCAAAAAAAAATTAACCAACCTTTCGCGTCAAATTCAAAAAAATTAAGGTATTATACCTTTAACATATTTCAATAAAAAGATTTTTTGTTTTTTTAAAAAAAAAGTTTAAAATTAAGGATGACGATAGGAAACGTGTTCTTGAAAAGTGATTTTTAGCAACCAGCCAAATGGATTTAAGGTTAAAAATGGTAAAAATCTTTAATAATTATATTTGATCATGTAGTGACACAGAATTTTTGGTCACAATGACGAAATTTAAATAGCGAGCAGATCGTTATTTTAATAAATTTTTTAATCTGAAATTTTTTTCTTTAAAAACCTATAAACAATTTATATATAAAGTTAGGGATTTTTAACAATGAAAATATTTGCAATACCAATAATAAAAAATCGTACAACATATTATTGTCATCATAAATCAAAAAAAGCAACAACATTAACAAAATTAACAAATTATGCAACAAAAAAATGGGATGCATTGTCAAATGTTGATAAGAAGAGTTTAAAAGGTAGAATTTATATAACGGGACAAAGATTATTGGATAAAATGGATTATCAAGAATATTTTCTTAAAGGTGTTCCTATGAGGGAAGAAAGGGGCGATGATAAAAGTTCAGTAAGTCTTTTATTAGATTAATGATTCTTTTTAAAAATTTCAAAAAAAATAATTCATACCGATTAATTTTCCCTCTCCCTTAGGTGCCTTTATTGTATCCTTCTGACGTAATTACACCCGAACTAACAGTCGATAGCCTTCAACGATTGTTAGAGAGTAGACTACCGTATCATCGAAAATACATGATTTACTCTGCATTATTTGTTCCTTTATCATCCACATTTACGATAGTTCCTATTTTACCTAATATACCATTATTCTATAATCTATTCCGCTTGTACAGTCATTATAAAGGTAAGTGCAGTAAAAAGTCCAAAGATTATTTCATAAATAAATTTATGAATTAAATACCTTTATTTTCTCAAAAAACATTTTGTAGCATATAAAGGAGCACAACATTTGTCTCATGTAATAAATGATAAAAGGCTTGTCCCAACAGAATCAAAGGAATTAAATAGAATTTATAATGGATTAGATTTAAATGATAGTAATAATGCTATTGATGAACAAAGAATTCATAACATTGCGAAAAAATTCGGTTTAATCGCATTGGAAGTTGATGTTAAAAGAGCAAGACATCAAATTTTAGAAAAAATAAAAAAAGAATCACAACAAGAAAAGGTGATTGATGGTGATGTCTCAAACCTGAATGGTATTCAAAAAACGAATAGTAAAGTTCATAATGGCAAAAAGACTTTAGACAATGAAACTTGATGAGAAATAAATTCACCAATAAATCATTAAACTTTACCATTTATTGGATAAACTCCAAAGTTGTAGAGATGTTGAATTTTACCATTTTAATTGTTTGAATTTATTGGAAATTTTTTTTCCTTGCAATAGTTAGAATTATGAATATGTAAAATTATAGAATTTTAATTTTCCAAAAATAATTGGAATCATACAAAATTTTAATTGGTTTGTATGAGTGCTTTTTTTACAATCATTCAATTTATATAAAAAAAAGAATTAATGCTGATTTACGCGTCTATCAAAATTTTGTACATCATATCGAGAAAAAAAAAATCGTTCTATTGAAGATTAAGATCCACTTTCCTAATCAGAATGCTAATAAATTAAAAGCAATCAAATCAAGTTAGATTATGTATGATTGCATAGTAATTGTGCGAAACAATATTCATTCAGTTTATCATGAACGTAAAATATTCTTTTTAAAAAAAGAATGCACAATTTATTTTTAGCTAATATTGGCGTTTATCTAGGAGTAGTCATGCGGAGTAAGTCATGCACGTTCGTACTTCGTCGAAAAAAAGGTTTCTTTATCGAATGTTGTACAAATATGTAGTGTTATATTTTACTGCGGTGTAGGACAAATTTTGTTTTTTGAATATATAAACACAAAAAAAAAAGAAAATTGTTAAAAATTGATTTTTTAATTTAAATTTGATGACACAATTTTCTCGATATAGACAACACCACTAAAAAGAAAAAAAAAAAGTAATGAAGATACAAAACGTAATTCTAATAACTTCCCTTTTAATACTTCAAGTAAGATACTAGTTTTTTTTTTTATTTTTTGAAGAAAAAATTCGTTTAATTATTAAAGTATTATTGTAATTTTTGAATTAGATTATATGTATAACATCACAAAATATAGTGGGCTCGGTAATATTTCCATACAACACTGTAGAAGTCCCACAAAATAACGGAACATGGTTTCTATGTTCAGAAGAACCAACAAAATATGTCAGTAAGTATCAAATTTGTGCCAATTCTCCTAAGATTTAACGTTAATTAGGTCTGAAATTCTAAAAAAAAAACATAAAAAAAATCTTTTCTCAAGGCTATAGCGTAAGAGTGGTAGATGGTACATTGCCGTTAACCGAGCCGGAATTTGGTACAAAAAAAGAAGGGTACAATGCACCACTCCTGACAGCACCACATGAAGGAATAACCGCCCAAATACGTTATACATCATCATATAGATTCTTACCTTCTTTATCTTGTTATATGAACTTTGTAACTTTGTGTGATCAGGATACTGGAAATTATTTAATGAAAGATAACGAATATTATTGTTTGGTCTTGATGAATCCTGCCCCTGTGGTACAACGTGTAAATGTCACCGTCTCTTTTAATAGTTCAGTGTTTGATAGTGCATTTACGAGTGATAATAAACCTGGTGGAAATTCGGTTTCAAGAACACTTAGTAGAGATTCCTTATTAGAATTTAGTTCAAGTAAAATGCTTTTAGCAATAATTAGTTACCTGTTCATATTTCGATTCGAAATCTTATAAAAAATATATAATTTATATATATATCTAATTTAAATACTTGTAATTTTTTTTTTGTTGTCGTTGTCGTTGTAATTATTTTATTTAATTTCAAATTATTTTATTTTAAAAAAAAAATAAAATAAAAAAAGATTTATTTAAGTTAGAAAACGCGCTATACGATTTTTCAATAAAAGTTGATTTTAGAGTTTGTTGTAATCGTTTTTAAAGATCATAATTATACAAACTAAACAAATAAAGGTTATCTATTATCTCAAAAAATAGGCCGCAAAAATTTGTTTTGGGACCATGAAAATAAAATGGTTGGATTTAGATACAAAGTGTAAGTTACTAGTAAGAACGTAAGAAAATCTACCACGGAATACAGTTCATCTGAGAAACACACGTATTGCGTTGTTAAAAGGTGTCAATGCTTACAATAAAATTTTTTTTTTTAATTCGGCGTCCATTATTCGGACCAACGAATTATATTTTATGTGAAAATTTTCGCCATACAATTAATGCCAAGCAACAATATACAGGATATATGTTAACTAATCAGCAACAGCTTAGATTCTAATTACGATGCTATTCTAGCTAAAAATAATAAATCATAATTAATATGTTAAAAGAATTAAAATTTTCATAATATTTCAAGAATAAAAATTTGACTTGCAACTTTATATAAAATTCATTAATAAAAATTGTAGCTATATGTGATCTTTTATTTAAAAAAAAATTTTATTTATTCGGGTTTATTATAAATTGCACGTGTATTTACTTTTGTTGGGGACTGTAAATAGCTTAACGCGCAAACCAAAACGGCCTAGAGTAGATATATGTCAAATAAATGAACCTATTGTGCATTAGGTAGAAACTGGTCAAGATTTAAATCAACCTTAGCGCATATTACCAAATCCGATGACATTCTCATTCGGTTACAAAACCATACTCTCTGAAACGGTTGGCAATTAAGGAAGGACAAAATAGGACATATCAACGATTTCCTTTAACTTGGCTTGATTCCATGACTTGTCCCAATGGTAATCTGAAATAGGGTATCGGAAAGAATTAACAAATTAATCGATTCAAACCACTTTTTGGGGGCGACAAACTTTACTAATTTTCGTGAAATTATATTTTGCAATTTTTTTAACATAGCTGATAATGAACTCTTCAATTCTTTTTGCGAATGGTAGATAAATCATTATTGCTAAATTTTTAAAACTTTATAATTAACTATCTATGAATAATTAAAGAATTAGATAGTAGAGATAAAATAATCAATATTAAAAAGAGTGCAGATTTCTTATAAGTTAGTTCTAAGTAATAGCAAAAAAGAAATAATATAAGTCATTTAAGAATATCAAGAACAGATCTATTCAGTCTCAATTGACACGTTTATGAAACAAAGTTATTAGCATAATATTTGTATAATAGAAAAGAATAAAAAAATTTGAAGTAATTATTGTTTATATATAAGTAGGTTTACTTTATTAATTAATAATTAGTTACTGAAATCATTAATAATAAAGTTATTTAAAAAATTAAGATATTATGATTTTATAAGCAATCAATTAATTACTAATCTTCTAAATTATCCTATTTTCTTTATCATTATAAATTTATTTTAATAAGATATTTTCAAATTATTTTTTTTAATAAAAATAGTATCATATATTGTAACTCTAAACACAACTAACTAAATATCTTTTATATTGACTAGCAGGCAAATTTGCCTGCAAACTTAAAAAAAAGTGTTAATCTTTTAATAAAATATTAAATATTAATTTTAGTAATATAGTAATTATATAAAATATATATTTTAATATATATTTTATCTATTTTATTAAAAGAAATTTTAAGTTTATTAAGAAGTTTTTTAAATAATTCAATTTTTAAAATTAAGTTTTAAAAATTTATTATAAGAATTTATTAAAATCATATACTTGCAAACTAATTGATCACTTTACTATTAATAAAAGTTATAAAATTTCTAAAAATTACAATAATTAATTGCAGATTCACATGTGACTAATAGAAATTACAATAATAAATGCAGTGTTAAATACAATAATAAAAAATTTTCATTTTAAAATCTCTATTTTCTGAGATGTAAAAAATGTCAAATGTTAATATAATTTCAGGCAAACTTGTTGCAACTGGAAATATTGTACCAGAGCTTCATTATGGTCAATATATGCATGATTAGTAGATTTTTTCCAAAGAAGAAAATTCAACTTACCCTATTCCTATACGTTTAGGATTAGAAGTTTCAATATTATTAAATAAACAACCTTTTGTTTTTTGTGTAATTTATTATATTTATAGTTCTTTACAACCTGGTTATATTTGTGAAGGAAAAGGATAAAGTAGTAGTATTATTATATGTATCTTTACGGCAATTATATCTGTATATCAAATTATTTTCAATAGTAAAGCAAAATTTTTTGGACTTTTATATTTGGGTTTAAATTAATTTAAAACAAGTCAGAAATTATTAAAAGGAGTAGTTTTCGCCCTTTTATTATTGAATTAGAAAAAATAACTATATTTGTTGGTTTTCTTGAAAAAATTATCTGTTTAAAATCAAACAAAATTGGTTGTAATTACCTATTATCTTTTTTTTACAAATATAAAAATAAACAATCTGTTTTTTCTCAATGTATAAATCAAGATTTATATTCAATCACAATTTTTTAGAATAATCAAATTAAAACTAAATATAAAAATATTTCACCTAATGCTGTATAGCAACAAGTTGAAGTTTTAAAATCCTTTTCAGGAAATACTTTATTTGCTATAGACCATCCTATAATATTACATAAACTAAAACAAATATACGAAACAATTTTTTCATACTAAACACTTATACCAAATACATGTACATCCTTAGATTAGAATAATAAAATAATTATGGAGCATTTATTTGAATTATATCTAAAAAAAGTAGTTGGAAAGTCAATTGATATGTGGTATCAAGTTTTTCAAAGTTGGAAAGAAAAAGAAACTAATATAATTGAATTATATACTCATCTTAGTATAATATATAGTTTAAATTATAATTTTCAAGAACATTAATTATGAGCATGACGTTCATTATTGTATATTACAGGATGTATAAATATTACTCTGTATAATAAAAAAATTTTTAAGATAATGTAATAAAATAAAAATTTATATATATAAAATAATGATAATAAATTAAAAACATATCAATTTATAGATTGAATTTTGGACAAGCTCATCTAATTCTAAAAAAGATCGTGAAATACTTAAAGATTTATATTTCAACAGATTTTTGAAGATGTCACCAATTCTATCAATTATAAATTCTATTCAGATATTTTGAAAATATTTTCGTGATAACTATAATATGAATATTGGAGAAATAAATGATAAATAACATATATTATCAATAATTGTAGAAAATTTATATATCAAGAAATAATTGATAATTTAGAGGTAGGATAAAGATTATACTTATTAAATATGTAAAATATAATAATGATTTTAAATTTATAATATAATTAGGTATCTTCTAATACTATTAATATAGCACAAAAGTTTTCTGAATTAATGGACCTAGTTGTACTGCATTAAAAAACCTATTATTACTTGTTCAAAAATGTCTGAAATAAAAGAAAAAGAATTTGAATTATTTTTTACTGATAAACAAAATGTAAATATGAGTTCTTATAAAGTTGATGCAAAAACACAATTACCAATACTTTATCTTAAAGATCAAAAAAATGCATTTTGAGAAAAATTTTCAGCTACTTATCCAGATGGAATGAAACATACTTCCTTTATATCTCAATTACAAAATAGTCATTTCAAATATCAAGAAGATTTAGGAGGATTGTGTTTAATATGTAATGATTATGAATATCAACCTTTTGAAGATTTGATTAATTTAATTAATATAAACTTTTCTGATAAAATATTACAGGTTAGTTGATATATTTTTTATTATAATTTTAATAAATAATATTATTATACTTATATAATTTTTTTTTAGAATTATTGGATTTATAAAATAGAATTATTACGTCGTCATCTAAAATAATACTATGAAAAAGAATTAGTTATAAATAAAAATGATACAACTAATCATATTGATTGTATTAATCATTGTTTATTATTTGTATTTGAAGAATGTAATTTTCAACATTTTTCATGGTGTCTAAAATATGATAGACTATTTAGTATATTCGAAGAACTTTTAACATAATTCAATATTATTCATCATGATAAACTTACCAAATGTCAAGAATAATTGATATGTTATTTATCACATCAAACCCATAAATCATATTTGAATGTCTAATTTAATGCTATACTACAAGAATTAGATGATTATGAAGCTATTATTATTATTGATTATAAAATGCGAATTTTACCTGCAACAGCTTGAGAAATAAAAAATGAATTTTTCAAAAAAAAAGAATGGACACTTAATACAACTTTAGTCTTTGTTCAAATACTAAACAAGATGCTTAATTTACAGTATCATATTTTGAAGCGGTATTTAAAATAATGAACCCAAAACCTCATTGGATTAAAATTATCTCAGATAATAGAGGCTATTATAATAATTCTGAATTAATAACAATTATAAATCATTGGTATAGTTAGTATGAAATAGAAGTATGTGGGTGAATCTTTCTTGAGCCAGGTGAAGCAAAAATTACAGTTGATTCTCATCATACAATAGTAAGTAAATTTAATACTAAGTATTAGTTATTTTCTATATTATACTAATTTTTTTAAATA